CAAAAACAATTTGTCGTCAAAGGAATTACAGTCATTACGAATGTATTTAAAAGTTGTGTTTTGTCGTAAAAAAGGGTGTTTTGTCTTAAAAAAAAGAGAGGATTTGTGAAAATTTGATTCACTATGCTGTATTTAGTGCATGCTGTACAATTTATTTTAATGTTAGATAATATGTTCCAATGGTTAACCGTAAAAGTGGGTATTAGGCTTTAAAACAAGATGTTCTACGGAGCATTCGTGGACTGGTAGTCGTTTGTTATGATACTCCATTTGATCGGAAATAACGGAACCAAATTGCGAGGTAAATGGTCAATTGCGATTTGAGTGTCTTTCACCCTTACACCAAATGCGAAATAAAACATAAAATGGGGAAGAGCGAAATAAAAAATAAAATGGGGAAGCGCAAACTTCTAGGGCCAGGTTGATTAATGTGTGACCGAGTAATTAATTAAACGCATCGTTTGGACGACCTCTTTCATCAACACTGCAATTGTCAAGCCGCCTTGGAGGAAGTCTTTGACCAAGACGCTAGTGATCGATATTGGACGGTGCATAGTGCGCCCTCTGATGGCACAGAAATTAAACCAGCGTGCCATCTTGCAATTACGTCTTGGGCATTTCGTAGTAACGGTTGAACTTCTTTCTTTCTTTTCTTCCTCGGCCTTCCTACAGAACCAATCAGCTATCGAGAAATTGTTTATGGTCAGTCGCGTGCGTTCGTACGACGTTTGAAAAACATTCCTGCTACGTGCGGTGATCCAGGGTCTACCTGATGTTCCACAATACCGATGTTCCGCACTACCTATGTTCCCCGAAATACTTAGGATTAGGGTTAGCGTTAGGATTTTACCAAAGACAAAATAGTTTAGCGGATTTGCACAACTAAGTCATCGCGTTGAATGCATGAAGCAAATCTTCTCTTTACCTACCCACCGTGCGCGTCGCCCTTCCCCATCATGATCTCTAAGCGAGTACTTCCTGTTTCACTTTTTTTTTTCCCCAGAGGACTGTCCTATCTTCCCCTATATACAAGATTTGATTGCATAAATAAGTGATACAGTCCCAGTCAAATTGCAGAATATATGAATGATTTTGTGACCAACAATTTGATAGGGCATTGAAGTAGTTATTTGGGCAAATATTTCAATATCTTGACTTACCGTTGTTTAGAAGAGCCATATTCGATCCCTGTTCGCTGTGTCAGATGGAGAGGAATTGTGGTGAGCTATACTTAAGATCTTCTTCAGCGTGTTGTTAGCATGGGCGTCGCCGGGATTTTTTTTCTAGTGGGGGGCAAAACATATTTTTCCCACGAATTACTGTATTTCTCAACATTTTTCTCAATTTCTCAGTTTTAGAGGGGGGCAGTGACATTTTGCCCCACCCCAAATCATTAAATTTACACCACTATGACTTCGCACCTCAATTTTTTTTTTTGCTTTTCCTGGGGGGAGTGCCCCCTCCCCCGCCCCTCGCGACGCCCATGGTTGTTAGTGGTTGCTTTGTGCCAAGATCGCCAACATGTCAGTGATTCTTTGCGATCATTATGAAATGCCGCGTGGAATTCGTGTGGAGCTATATGAGCCGAAATATACGTGTACTTCGAGACTCTACCGGCGGTGCAGCTGCTGCAATTATTGTTCTGTACAGGGCGAGTAAAACAAGTGAAACCCACATGTCGGAACCATTGTTTTAGTAAAGTTCTGCACGTAGCACTTCCGATATCTAAGATATGAAAGCCCAATTTATAAGCTTTTTTTAGTACAAGAATAATTTAAATCACTTATGTACTTTTCAAGTTACGGAATTCTAAACACAACCACCGTTTTAAAGTTCTGTCCACGGATCACACTAAGCTAAGTGTTTCTCCAACAAAACGAGGACAAATCACATAGGGATAGGTGTAAATTGTTTCTGTTTTACTGAAAAAATGCACACTTTTTTTGTTTGTGATCCGTGGACAGAACATTATGATCCGTGGACAGAACTTTAAAACGGTGGTTGTGTTTAAAAAATTCCGTAACTTGAAAAGTACATTAGTGATTTGAATGATTGTTGTACTTAAAAAGCTTAGGAATTGGGTTTTATATCATAAATTTTGAAAGTGTAACATTTTAAAAGTGTTAGTAGTCCCGACATTTGGGTTTCGCTTTTTTTGTACTCACCCTGTACTCAGTGACACCATTACTAAGTCTAGACGTGTTGTGTTCATGCAGTGCCTCAGTTAGAAGACATTGTATGTCCTTTATTCTTTTCTTCATGCTGGCTTTCATCGATTTGGTTGATGAGAGTGAGTGGTGCGGGGAGGTTCTGCCATTGCTTCGTCGATGTTTACGAGCGCAACACAATTTTTTTGTTTTGTTGAAACTGGCAATGGCCACTACTAAACACCTCGTCAATATGTGCATTGCGTCCTGGGTTTACGGATTAGAAGAGGCAATTTGTGTCGTATGGAGACTCTTCTCCCTCTTCTTCCAATTGAGTGCTAACTTCACAATTGAAGACTACAGCACTTTGCCTTGAGCCAGGCAAAATGGTAATTTGCCAGGTCCGAACTGTTAGCGCTGCTTGTCAAAGCATTGCATAATAATGACAGAGAATATTATGATAATTGGCAACTTAATCAGGAGAATAAATTCTGCGTTCGATGATTTGTGTTTGTAATCGAGAACGGATTTTTTTAGGCGGGAATTTTTGAGTACAATACGCTTTTATATTTTAGATGTCTTTCTTTGTTACTCTGACCTGTTCAAAGGTGTTTTTGTTCGAAGCGAAGTTTTTTTCAACAATTTTAAGATGAATCTTAAAAACGTTATTTTTCAGTCGGATACTACTTGTATAGCAGCAATTTCCTTTTTCTTTTCCTGATCTGAGGCTCTGGAGGATTTTTTTTAAAAGGGAAATAAAGTCCGAAATCCGTACCAAGTTGAAAAATAGTAGCCTCCACTCAAGCCTGGTTATAAAAACCAAGCCCCATAGGAAAGCGCACAAAGTACCCCAGATAGTTGTGTAAAAAAAAATATCGCCACCCGTTCACAGATGGGTAACAAATTTCAAACAAAATGTGGTCTAACAATTAGTAAATTGGGGGCAGCATTTGAACAAAAAAAAACTAGTATTAGATACACAAATTCCATCTTTCTTGAAAATGATGGCACACCAGCTAGGTGCCATGATATTTACAGGATGTTTGAATGTCATTTACTAACAGTCCAGTAAGGTATGTCATAACAATTGAGTTGTTTTGTTTTTGGATGTTTGCAAATGCGGTATATTGCCTTCGTACAACACCCCGTATTGTATGTCTCGCAAGTGTTTTTCATTTACGAATGAATAGTCACCAATCTCTAGCATTAGTCGATTGGCTGATATAAACAGTACTTTCGTGGTAGGTTCTCTTCATGTGCACTATCGACAACAAAGTTGTCCATACATGTATCGGCAGCGGCGTAAATAGGGTTAGGTATCCTATAGGTGCACCGACTGGTTTCAAGGGGGGGGGGGGCTCCGAAGGCAACTGATATATTGTTTTAAAGCAATCCCAAATGTTAAACAGACGGGGGCACCCGGAGGCACGAACATACTGTTGGGCCCTGGGGTGGGGTCATGCCCCCCTACCCCTCATTTAGTTGCGCCACTGATCGTACGACGTATTACTCCAACTTGTGAGCATTTCACATCAGAGTGAAGGATGCACAAATCTCTACTGATCATTTACTTTACAATTTGGTTTCGTTTATTTCAGATCAAATTAGTATTTTGACACATACGGCTACGCAGTCTACGTACGCTCGATAGAGCGGCTTGTTAACAGACTTCCGTGGTAAACCTTTTGAGCAGATGATCTGACATGAAACTGAACTGTACAGCATGTACTAAATACAGCATTGTAAATCAACTTTTTCACAAATCACATTTGTGTTTACTACAACACAATTGTTTAATGGCAGACCATCTGACATTAAACTTAATTTTACAACATGTACTAACACAGCAAGGTGCATCAACTTTTCACAAATCACCTTTTTACGACAACACAATTGTTTAATGTGTCCTTAAGGTCTGTATTTTTTTCTTCCCGACATATCATTCTTTGATTATGGTATTTATTAGTTTATATGTTATGTATAAGCTAACTTTTTTTTAAGTCCAAATAACTCAGTAAGCACAATTCCATACCTTTTATATCTTAGCTATAAACTCATCACCAGGAAGGTGGCATTACTTTCAACTATTTTACGTTCAATATGTCATGCAAGGTTATTGTCTCTTTCAAATGTTAACGTGCAGACGTGCCAAACAAATAACCTATGTGCATACTGGTGGTTGTGCAAGTTTACAATATTTCGAAACAGTTTGCTGCTAAAGCTGAAGTGCGCTCGGAAGTCAAACTAACCTCCCTCTACTACACGATTCAATTCATTAAGTACATACGATTTTGTTTGACATTTTACACATTCACCGTGTTCATTAAACAAGAATGGCTTCTGAGGCATGTGCTGTAATTACATACCATTAATGTTTTCAAATGTGACACAACTGTACAGTTAACGCGTTATTTTATATAAGTTCAAATAAACATGTACTATAATTTGTTATGAGTACACTGATAAGCTGAAACAAGATAAGATAATGAATAAATACATATATTTAGCACACGAGGTTTTTTCCCCCTGGTTCGCATTTTGACAATGAATCTTCGAGCTTTCGATTTTTTTTCCAAACGACATCCGCCTATATGGTTATTTAGCGCCCTCTACGATACTTTTATATTACGCACGCAGGTATATAATTACTTTTCCCCCCACGTTTTGGTTGTCAGTGTGATAGCTCAATCAATACAGGGTCGTGATTTTGCACCGCGAGGTTGGGGGTTTGAAACACGGTTTTGCACTCGTATTTTTTGTTCTTTTCTTACGTAAGGCTTCGGAAGATTTTTGTTAAATGGAAAAAAGTCCGAATTTCAAAATGTTCGAATTCAATTTTTGTCTTCTAATTGTTTATTTTTTTCTCATGTTTTTAGTAAAGTTTAGTCCAACACGCCATAGCGTACACCCATATGCGGGTGTCGATTGGGAGAAAACATTCGCTGCCCGCACAAGATAGTTGTTGGCCTCGCAGGGCGAATATAATCAACAGGACAGATATTTGCCTCACGGCCTCGCGAGGCAGAACACTAAGCAAAATTGATTGCATACGGTAACATTTCCTGCGCTACATTCTGATCAAACGGCCACGTTTTGCTCTAGCTATCGTGTGCGGCAGGCTTAAATGTATAGATGCGTTTAACACCCATGACTTTCTGATCATTCAACAAAACAGTGATTCCAAAGCGTTCGCTCACGTGCAGCACATTTCGTATCCCCTTTTCTACAGGTCGTTTGCTTTGTTGGAAGGCCTTGTGCTTTCGCTTTTTGGTTTTAATTAGTTCTAATATGCATGTTACCATAGCTGCTATTTAACTAATTTATTGACAGGCGTCGTTCGGAGATTTGAATTTTTTTTTCAATACCTGCTTGCGCCTATAAATGTTAATCAAATATGCTTGCTATCTGACAAGGAGGAATTAACGGTTTCGATTGATCCAGTTTGGGGTTTCGAAACTTTATTACCGGACTTCACGTTACTGGGCTGCACGCTGCGTTTGGCCATGACAGACGAATAGATCGTGTACAGGTAAGGGTTGAGAGATGAGTTGATGGGAAGGACCAGGACTACGATCCAGGAGTAGACCTCAGCACCGACATGCACCGCCCCGGTCTGAGACAGAATACCGAGAATGATGACAGGCATCCAGCAAGCAAAGTCCGTACCGACGATCAACGCCATCTTGACGGCCATTTTGATCTCGCTGTCCCGGTTAGAGTTCTTTCTGATCTGGCTAGCAGACCGCTTGGCCTTGATGAAGATGGCGATGTAACAGACAAGGACGACCAGGAAACAGCAGAGATTGATGCCCAGAAACATGACGATGGACAGGATCCAGGCTGGTTTCTGACCGGTCGAAGAGACGATCTGCAAGGCGTCTGCGTCCCCGAACGGATTGTTGACGTCACTGGGCTCCAGCTGGACGCCGTCCGCCTTGGTGGTCAGGGGCAGGCCGATGCAGACGTCAGAAAGACCGTAGACGTCCGAGTTGGAGTCAACGACTAGAGTCGGTACGATGCTTAAGCAGAGAGCCGTCACCCAACCCACTGCGATGAACTTAATGGCAGACGTCTCGCCGAGCTTCATCCTGGCGAAGGGAAACACGATTCCCAGGAGGCAATCAAGACTGATCATTGTAACGAAGAACACCGAGGCCTCACTGGACAGAACGGACAACACCCCGGCAGCCTTACACGGCGCGCTGGTCCGCCACTGCGCCGCTTGAGAGGAGTACCGCTCCCCGTAGTGGATGTCGGCAGCGGCTATTATCAACATGTACACTCCCATAATGAAATCAGACACGGCGAGATTAGCTATCAGCAAAGAGTGAGTCTTCTTGACTTCATTTCCTTCCTGGTGACGAAGCCTCCAAACAATTACCACAAAGTTGCCAAAGAGGGCGCTAATCCCAAGGACCCACATGCACACGCGCAGTCCGTAGTTCTGCATAAGTGAACCGCAGAGGTTGAGCGGGGGCTGTGACTGTGTGGTATGACAGTTGCCTATCTGGAAGCCTGGAATATCTCTCAGGAGATTGCAGCAAAGTCGGTAGTCATCAACAACACTGAAACAGAAAACAGGGAAAAAGAAATTGATATAACATCAAACCGTCAAAGTTGGAAAGTAAGAAAGTATCTCTTTACTCATAGAACAGGTGATATTATTTGTTCTAAATTAGCAATATATTACGCTTTTGTAGAAGCAGGGAGAGAGGAAAAGGCTCCGTATTTCGCATCTAATGGGTCACCGTCGGCTACGTCTCGAACCAGTACCCTGCAGAAATCATAATTACACATCAAAATATAATGATCAAGAAATGGTATTGTTCACCAACAAAACACGATGTCCACATAAACAGTCAAAAACGACTAGAACGATATCTAACAATGCTTATAAACCTAAACGACAGTCTAATAAACCTAAGGGGGGATGTACGGCCTGAGATCCCCGAAAATGTCATGTTTTGGATTGTTTACTTGTATTAGTTTAAAGGTCTAGTTCAAGGAAAGTAACCTAATGTCTTTAATAGCCAACCGTTCCCGAAAAAAAAAAAACACACGGGGAAAAACCTGGTTGTTTATATTGGACGCGATGGAGTACACATATTTATTTCCTGTTGTTTTCATTCAACGCACTATACAAGTTTTGTGTGTCACAAACATCACATACAGCGTCAATACACACATGTCGTTTCTTACACGTCCGCAAAATGCGTATCCACTGTGCGGCTGTAAACACAACTAGCATTGGACAGCTCGATATTTCGGAGACAAACCCGTGACCCCAAAGTTCGCTCTCGCATGACCATTGCTTAATTCAGAGTTATTTTGTTGAAACCCAGTTGATTTTTAAAATCAAACGTTTGTCTTGGCCATAATTTTCAAAACGGGTCGAAAACCAACATGAAAACTAAAGAAGCGGTAGCCTGCTATTCAACATGACTAAAAGTGAACACTTACAACGTTTTCAAGTTGGGGAGACCAGCGAATGCGTTCTTTGCTGCAATTCGCAACTCTGGTGCATCCGTTATAATCCTGCGGAAACAAAAGGGCATTTCCTTGTTTTATTTCCCAAAAAATTACACTGATAGAATATTAACCATAATCAAGAAAAAAAGCCCCATCATTTTCATTAAATTAACAAGTATTGTCATCTACATCTTGCGATTATTTTCCCTCTAAAAATCACAGATCAGACGTGACGATGTTCAAGGTCAAAATGTGTCCTAATCGGGGGTCATACTGACTCAAGAAAATGATTCCTTTACAAGGTCTTGTGCCTAGTCCAAAAATGTGTACCTATTTTGGCTACAGTTGAGACTCTTTTTGTCATACATTTTGCTTTAGAAAAGGACATGTGCAGACTCTTAAAATTGACAACAAGTGTACCCAGGTTGTGGCATATCTTACTCAGAAGCTTTTAGAGTTCATGTCTCAGATGCTCTTCTTGATTAACACTGAGTACTTGGATAAGATTGAACTCTACTACATTTGTATAGTTTCATTTCACTTACAGTGCCTCGAGATTCTGCAGTTCACTGAATGTGTCCGCTACTATCTCGGTCATTTCATTTCCGGAAACATTCCTGTCACACGGACAAAATATGGATGAAGGCAAATGAGTGTGAAGGGTTAGAAAGCTTGTTAGGTAAAATGATGACAAGAGTTCGATATGGACCACAGAAGTAGTGTTTTCCCCTCAATTAAACTTATTCAAATAAACAAAAATATTTGATGAAAATTGACATGGGTTCCAACCACAAATCTTTTGATACGTAGTTCATTCCACTATCCATTAGGCCACTGTGGCAGCTCGACGGAAGCCGTTATTTTAAATTCTTTAATGTACATGCATGACTGAGTGATTGAAATGGTGTGACGTCTTGCTTTTTCCTTATGAATTAACATCGAGCTAGCTGAATAATCATGGTCCGTTGACGATGTGTGCTTCAGATAAAAAATAACGCCGTCTGGTCAGTGCGTGGAACTGTACAACTAAAACATATGACTCGGAAATGTTTGAACTGAAATCGAGATCACAGAATAATGTTTATCGGAATGTGCGGTATTAACAGATCTAACAGTTCATTTGGTTAGTTTTTCAGTACCCGTATTTAGATGTTGAGCACCTTTAATGTTTCAAACGAACAAATGTTAATGATCTGCTGTACCTTTAAAACACAAGTCTACATTTTTGTTCTGCCTAAAGGAATAACACGTGCACTTCCCTTCATTGTTTTGCCATCGTATCTGATACAAGACGCGACAAAAAAAACACTGCTGCGAGTTTCAACCTTACATTCCGAGGAAAACAATCAGGTTCAGAAGTAAAGTTGTCACACGCATCAATAGGCAGCATAAAACAAACTATTTTTTTTTTCAGGTAATACCTTTAATAATTCTGGGAAAAATTTAATTCGACAACAAAATAGAACTCACAGATAAGTAAGATTTCCCAAGCCGTAGAAAGTTCCTGGTGGGATCTCATGTAGCTTGTTATAAGCGACAGAGCTTTGAAATAAAAACACACAATCAGTGTGGCAAAGATGTTTTAACCATCGAATATTGATTGGTATTCAAAATATTATACATTTGCCGTTGTCGAGGCCCCCCTCCCCACCGCCTCCCCCCAAAAAGAAAGAAAATATTGTTTTTAATGCACTCTTTCGATTTTACATAACCAAGTCAGCATCATTTTCGATTTTCAAGGTAGACGTCCGAAAAAAAAATATATATCATGAAATGATTCATGCGTTAAATAAAGAGTGATTGCAAACATTTAAAAGTCCTTGAGCTTGACGGTCTTTGACTGTGATTAATAATCGGACAGAGAATACCCAACACGTGTTTGGTTTCGTAATTTATTTACACCTGCATTATTCAGCAGGGCTAGTTATCTGATATTCCAGACAAGTTAATTGGCTCTTTTTATTACAATACTGATCCAGTGGTAATGAAAGCGCCGCTCGCAAAAAGTAAATGGACGGAAACACCTATTGATTCGTTTCTAAACTTGAACTCTTTGTGGAAAAACGATTCACAATTTTAGAGGCAAGCATACAATTGTCACATGTATGTTATTTGTGCATTGATTGGGTGGCAACGTACACGTCGTACACAGGAACAAAGGAAACATCTGTTTCTTTTGCCTTCTCCTACTTACAGAGATCGAAGAAGCTTGAATTCCTTGAAGAGTCCCGGTACAAGTTGAATGGAACTGTGGTTCCTTTGCCGGGTGAGCTTGCTATATAGATTTATAAAAGAGACAACTGTCAATGTAACCAGTTTGCATACTTTCAGAGGGTTCTAGACGATTTTTATAATAAAATCATGCTTCGAATCAAATAATCGATGAACCATGAAAAAAAAAATGTCGAACAAAGGTATGTAAGTGATTAGGTTTATATAAACGTTTACGTTTTGTTGTATCGACCGTACGAGATTAGAAAGACCAATAGACGCGAGACACCAAAGCGACGATACTAGACGAGATTAGATGAAACAAAATGAGATTTATTACAACAATACGAGAAATGAAACAATAAGAGAAATGAAAACAATACAAGAAATGGAGACAACGCAGTTGAATTTGAAGCTTAGAAATACTCACAGTGCCACTGTGATTTTCGCGATGTCTTGTACATCTCCTGGTCCCCAGTCATGTGAACAAATGACGTGGAATTCGCCTTCGACGTACGAACAGGAACAATTGTTTGGACAGCGTTTGTTATCTGCAAAATTATTGTAAAGCACAAACATTTAAGTACTTATTTGCTTAGATCTGGTGACCTTGTTGTGGTCAATGGCCTGTATGATTTAGTCTTTAACCCCATTTTTAAAAACCAAATTATCAATTTGAAACGCTCCACTGTGAAGAGAATGTCGATTTCCGGTGAGATAAGTTTACTTTTCAAAACCCCACTGTTTCATGATCCATATCTAAAATGTTAGTATACTTGCAATACATATTCAGATATATGGACATTTCCTATCTGACCTATGGTGGCCTTTGGGACGTCAGTGAACTGTGTATACATTATATGCCGCTATTTAAAATATTTCATCTTCCAAATGCCACTTTCTCATTACCCAAGCCAAAATAGTGGACAAGAAGTGATCTTTGACTATTACACTACAGCGTGTCATGAATTAAGACACCAAAGACAATTTCATCATGACCTCTGACCTCCATTTTCCCCTATCAGAACAGACGCAGACGCGACAGAATAATACGTTGCATATCGGACAAGCATCACACTCTTACAGTGACCTGTGGGCTTCGTAAAAAGGTTACAAATGTGGTTACGCAAGTCCATCATGATACAGCGGAGTGTAGTAACTACACAAACGTGAATATTGCTTGACATATTGAAAATATTCATTAACAAAATAAAATATGCAAGATTGTGGTTGGCACACGATCAACATTCTAGTATAAATATGGAAGCCACAGACGTAACATGTATTATAAAAGTCCATTTGTCCTCACCGCATTCCACTTCATCGTCGCCGTGCTCACAGTCAATTTTACCGTCGCAAACATTTTCGAACACAATACAGGTTTTTGTTCGGCTGCAGTGGTAATCTGATGGGCAGTACACCTCGGCTGAAGAAAGGTATCACAACAAGAACATGTAACAAATGACTTCAGTTGTTTCTGCAACCAGGTAGAGTCAATGTTTACATAAACACATTTGACACAGACACCGTCACTGAATATTATACATCGCGTGATATTAGAAAATAATACCGGAGTCCTATATAGCGCACGTATCTACCAACAATTTGGTACTCAAAGGCGCTGGAAATTATGTCTATTATTAAATACAGATAAATCACATTTATGAGAAATTTGAGACCCATTATGTAGCACTTTATGAAGAGTATACAAGGTGCTGCGGCGCATATTGCAGCCACTGTTCAATAACGTTCATTACACAACACACAGGACCTACGGCTATACGTCCCATCTGAAGGACGATGACTGAGCCTATACAAAATAAAAAGATGACTATACAGCATTTTTGTTTAATTTTGGGGAAGTTCGAAGCCACTCCTATACCTCGTGGTTTATGCTGGCGGTAGTGTATACGCAGTGCCTGCCTTTATCACGACGTCACTAAAAAAATGGGCCTTTTTGGGAGGGGGTGGCATGGCCCTCGTCCCCCCCCCCCACCCCCCACCCTGCTTCCGCCCTTGACAAGGCAATGCAGCTGCTCAAAAGAAACATAGTGCTCAATAGAGAATTCGGTATCAGCAGCAGAGTACCAGTCAACAGCAAATATACATTGCCTGGTTATCCGTTTTGGGATACTTCAACAACTTACCACAATCGTCCTCGTCTTCTCCGTTCAAGCAGTCCAGGAATCCATCGCATTTTGCTGATGCTACAAGACACGCTCCCTCTTCGCACAGGAATCCAGACTGCCCGTCAGTCATGCACCAATCTGCAGGGGAAAAAAATCCGGTAAATATGCTTGCAATCAAAAGTTAGTGATGCGTAAATCCTTGCTTTTATACTGATCTTCCAAAGAGAGGATCACTATAAAAACGAAACGGGTTTTGAAGTAAAGATGAGTGGGATAACCTTTTGGGGTTATCTTTTACTACCCAATATGTGGCAGTGCTTCAGGAAAAGAATAGATTTTGGTGCGCAAACGATGCGTCGTTGATTAAATAAATCAAACAACCTGTTATTTGCGTAACGACCTCACAATTCATGGGCTTAAACACTTAAAAGTAAATGAAGCCCTACGTTGCTGTTTCTATATTCAGAATGGTTACAACTGTTTTCCAGTTAAGTAACATGTTTTGTTTGAGGAAAGTGTACTTCGCTTATGCACTTCGTTGCATGATATTGCTTTTCCGGGTTCGATAACTTTGAACTGGTACCTAATTAAATCACATCGATGAAAACATATCTGTTTATAAATGCTAAAGTAAACACATTTTGCCTTTTGATTCGTTGTGAAGTTATACAACACGCCAAATGAGATCTGACGATATAATCTCAATCACCTGAATCCCAAGCTGTTAGATTGATATTGATCAGGTGGAAGTGGAATCCAGTCAGCTGGATTGTAGTGTCTGTGCGGAATCGGACAGTCAGCCCGACCGTAGCATTGAACACCAACGCAAGTATCTTGGTTGTGGTCCCCGCCAGCGTGTAGTCCACTGGTTCACCCCCGGGGAAATTGAGCCCGCTGACCTGGGCAACATCCTCGCTTGCCTCGGTGGCGAAGTCCAGGACACGGAACAGCGTGGCTGGAGCCAGGCCGCGGGAGGGCACCTCCCAGCGGCAGTACAGGCCGGCCGGGTAGGGCTGCGGATAGCCCGGAGACTTCACGATCACAGCGTCGTCGAGGAAGGTCACAGCGTCGGAGTCGCATTCCACTGAGGAGATACCAACCAAACAATTATTTCTTTGAGCTCCATACAATTAAGTTATCGGAATAGAGGAACATGTTTCATTGCGTGACAAGTGATATAGCCCAAAGCCCGGTTAATACTCGGCATGGAAGCGAAAGCGAAAGCGAACGCGAATTTGTGACGTCATGGCAAGTATTCGAGCAGCAAATTCGTTATAGTTGAACAGATTTCAACTTGGGAGAAATTCGCAGCGAATGTTTTATGACGTCAACTTTGCTTCGCATTCGCATTCGCATGTATGAACCAGGCTTAACGGTGGCAAATGTATGCGAAGTTGTAATGGAGTGGGAAGAGTAGGCTGAGATTTGGTGATTCGATACGGTCATGCGTTTTAAAAATTTAATGTTACATTTAAACATTTCAGTTAATAATGATTTATTGAATTTAACCAGAAGTCTGTTACTTACGGTCAGGACAAACTCCTTCGCTGTTTTCGTTGACGCAGATAAAATCCTTGTAGTCGCACAGTGTTTCCCCTGCTTCACAGGAAACTGTAGTGGAAAAGGTTTGAAATGATTAAGTTAACAGCTTGTGTTCCCATTTTAATTTAACATTGAAGGAACAATATAATACCTTGTCCAGAAGATCGCTGTTCAACTCTCAGAGAAAACCCCGGATACGTGTACTCGTCGCCTGAAGAAAACATCAAATACATCGTGTGCCCCATCGAAGCAACCCTCGCTGGAAACTTTTTGCTGTCACCAAAAAAATAATGATGGGATTTTGAAGGCAAGCAACTCAATGTCGTATTGCATGCTTTGAGGGGATTATCGACATTTTACTGACTCTAAACATGTCTCTTTCAAGTGTTGTGAATTGTTGCACTCATGTTGCGTATGGTGAAAGTGGTTTCAGAAAGAGAGAGAAAAAAAGAGTTCAATTTATGTAGGATAAGAACCACTAAAGCAAAGTAATTTAACATTGTGCTGACAGTTTCCACCTGTCCCACCTCATATCCATGGGCGCTTGCTGATGACCGCTCCTCCCTGTCCCCAACAAACTTTGAGGCAAACATTGGAAGCAATGTAAGTATGTCACCTGCCTTAAAACATATACGTGCATTTCGTGCGCACGGGTCTTGCGCACATGGCAAGAAAATCTCAACTCGCATACACCGACATCTTACATAGCCCTATAACAAAAGTCTAAATAGCCCGACACGCAATGCTGTAATGGGTTCGAGTCCCATCCAGTGATTTTTTTTCCTATTTTCACTCGGGAGGTAACACACTGAGTATACATTGTTTATCCGTCGGTGAAGGGCAAAACCTAAATTGAAGTCATGTACCAGTTGTACATGTCTAGTCACAATCCCAGTATAAGTCCTAAGCTATAACAGCGACATCCCTTTAATTGTTCATCCCCGTTACTTGTAACGAAAATATGAACACGTCTATTCAAGTCCAGTCACAGTCACAATTTACAAGGCAAGCCATAAGCTATTCAAAACATGATTAAGAAAAATGCGGTTGTTTGTCTCCCTGTTACTGGTGACAGAATGCGTTAACTGACATGTGATTTGCTTCCGATCAGACCTCTGATGCGTATGTGATGAACACGACTGTCAAGCCGCCTTCAAGCCACAACTTTACCCGCTGAGCTGTAGAATGACTTCCTCCATCGGAGTGAATCCATTGCCGATCCACAGTTTGTCGTAGCCCTGCTCCGTGTCAAAGGTCATGAAAGTCACCATTACACGGTGGCCCCGAGCAGCTTCGATAACGTACGTACAGTCCACGCTGTCAGGGTAGTTTTGGGGCCAGGCCGGGGACGTGAGTGTGACCGGCAAGGTGTCGGTGAGGTTGAAGTACGCGTCTCCACATGGCCCTATATCATAATTTAACAAATATGTATGTATATATATTATATTAAATCAAAAATATTCACAAACGCGCGTAGAACACATTTCTGAATTTAACAGACGAGGCCGCTTCGTTGAAGATACAATTAAAGTTAATATCAAAGAGATACATATTATTATGAAATGATCTTTAAGAAACGAGCTTTAATGTTAGGAGTTATTTTCTTACTTTAGATTGACCTATGACGTGTCAACTATTTTGTTTACTATTATTATTATTATTATTTTTTTTTTTTGCGTTTCCTGGTTTCTTTATCTGACAACAACAATGAAACTGACCGCAACTGAATTCATCGGAGGCTTCCTCACAGTCGACTGCTCCATCGCAGATGGATGTTTTGGATATGCATTTTCCTCCCAAGGGACACTTGAACTCGTCTTGACCACAATCTCCTGCTCAAAGAAAGCACAAACTGAGATGTCACTGATTCAGATTGATTTTCATTAAAAGCAAAGTGGCTGCAACACATTACTATAAATTAACAGACTTTTGGACTTTTTAAATCTTCGGCCGAAGAACAATTAACGTTATCATGGCGTCACTAAAATGTATGTCAGTTACTTACACGTCCCTGTCTGCAGTTTCAACCCAATCGGACTTTCAGTTATCTAGATACAAACTCTAAAGATTTAAATATTAATGACGTCACATGACCACGACCATCGTCATCATCACATCACTTGTCTGGTGACAACATAATCTTTGGTAGTTTGTCTGTGCATAGTTTGGAGACAATCTGATTGTATTTTATGTCATAAATATTGCCAGAAGAAGGAACAAACAGATGGAGTGCGCTATATGAGCTCTGGCCGTTTTGAAAGAAGCTACTACATGAAGGTATTGCATAGAATCGATCAAGACCGCCAGAGCTTAGAAATGCCAATGATAGATTTGGAACACCATGCTTTTGGTAAATTTTCGGGACGGACAAAACAACCATCCGAGCGACCGACCGACCAGTTCCCAAGTTACATGCAATAGCGACGTGTATATTTTCTAATTACTCACTTTATGACGATCGGACTAATCCTCTACATGATTAAAACAATATATCACATTTTGATGACGTCATCATTGCCTCACACATGTATCACTTTTGTGAAGTTGTGTATAACCTAACAAACCTACTACCAAATAAAATTGCTTGCTTTGTAAAAACAGGCCAATAACTTAATTAAGTTCATCAGAAATGAAAGACACCGACCGCATCCAGCTTCGTCTTCGTACTCGGGGCAATCCACTTTTCCATCACAGAGAGCTGATGGCTCGATACATGTTCTTCCAGACCCGCATAGCACAAGGTTAGATGAACATTCTGTTTGGGGGACGAAACACAACAAACAACGGGTCACTTTGTCTAACGAAAGAAAGAGGAATATCCACTCAATCAATTAATAGTCAGTGCAAATTCGACACCATAGGACACCATGTACTGAATTCCAAACCTGAACAATGTTATTAAATTGACAGTTGCGTCAAAACAACAAAACGATGTCTCATCTGGTAATGTGTGAGTTGTACATTCGGCGTGGCTGTCATGAAATATAGGACAGTTTTTGCTTCTGCCGTCTCGACCATTCTACACGTCAATCTTTCTTTGATAGGAGCTTAACTGTTTCACATTCATGAACATGAGCATTAACTGCAGAACGCTGCCAAGTGGTTAATATTAAGCAAATTTTGTAGTGTTGCATGAGGGCGTCCTGATCAGCTTTCGATATAGCCTTTCGCCAAGTCCATCGTGGCTTTAACTTAGCCGGCATTAGACAAAGCGGCAAAAGAGACCCAACCTGCTTCGGAGAAGGCCTGAAATTGAAGCCAGAACCCCCGGTTGGTTTCCACCGTCCGCGAGTTACATGCCCTGGCAATTATCCACATGTGCGGTCCGCTGGACGTGAGCGTGTGCGGGTACGCTGTGCGGGTGGATCCGCCGGGGTTGCCGTAGTGGCCTGGGGAGCTGATCGTACGAAACCCACTGTAGAAATCGATGAACCTGTTACCGTAACGTTAATTCGATAAAAAGAAATAGTTACGTATGTCTGTAGTCTATGTAATAGACCAAGGCGAAAGCCGTGGTATATGACCTTTAAGCAAATTTGCTAATTAAATATGCAGGACGACCGCATCTTGACCTCTACATTTTGACCAATCAG